GTCCGGTACGGGGGCAACACTGAGGGTTGCGATCCGTTGCCGGACACGGAAAAAAGACAAAAGACAATAAATAAATAAATAAATACATAAATACTCATACCCTTCTCCGTCACCACTCTTCCACCTAGCTTGCTCTACACAACACCTATTCGTGTCAGCCTGTTTCTTCCTCTCTGCCTATTGTGGATATAGGCCATGTAGCCTTCTCTAGAACAGGCATTACCTGCATCATTTTTGCTCAATAAATTCTCATGAAGGTAGAGATAAAGGGGATGATATCAAACAGGGCAGAGAACCTTCAGGTGGGATTCTTTCATGGTGTGAAGAAGGAAGGCTCTTAACTGGAATCAAACAGATATGACTGTGTTAGAAATTCATTTTTATGACTTATCTACGGGGTAACCTTGACAAATTAATTTCTTAGTCTCTCTGAGCTTCACCTTCCTCTTCTGCAACGTGAAAATGATGATAATAGCATACACTTTATATGGCTGTTGTAAGGATTAAATGAAATACTCCATGTAAATCACCACAGTGCCTAGCACACAGTATATGTTTAATAAGTGCTAGCTATTATTATAATAACCTTGGAAGAAAGCTAATGATGTTATAAGTCCTCAAAATACTTTTTGTCTATCTGGTTCTTCTTGGGTTATATTTAAGCAATTTCACCACATATCCAGGAGATATCTGTACTTGATGCATTTAAGAATTGAAAAGAAGAGAAATCCAAATGAAATATGCGGTTAGAACTCATTCATCTGTCCTTTGGAGATTTTTGCTGCTGTAGAGAAAACTAAGTAAAAGAAGAAGACTAAGGGATCCTCCTTTGTTACTTGTATTAGTCAATACATCTAACAGGAGGCTGGTTCTTAACCTCAACATCTTAGAAATGTTTTGATAGCCCCTCATATACTAAAAAGGTTAAGACCTTTGGCCCTGGGAAAGACAGTGGCAATCACTGACTTTAGCTACTCAGGATCGCTTATTTGGCAATTGATATTGGCAAGTTTCTCAGTTTTTACTGAACTAATTTTCTTCCACTGTAAAATGGACATTAATTATTTATGTTTGGACACGGATTACTAAGTGTTCTAAGATCTCCGTATTTGAGACCCATAATTCCTTAGTGGGGTGAAAGACTGATTGGTTTATACAAAATGCCTTTGTCAAATGTTGTTTATCTCTGTGGGTCACATTAGATTTTGTGACTATTTCTCACACTGGTATAGCTCTAACCAGTTTCTGGCTCATTGCGTTTGTTTCCTTATGCCAATAATTTTTCTCTCAGCTGAAATGCTCTATTTGCTACCATCTCACACCATTCTTGGCTATATTAGCACTGAATGAGTGAGATTATGATGTAGATCTCAAGTCAACCAAAGGCATCTCATTTCCAGGCAGGAAAGGAAAACAATGAATGTAGAAAAAAGAAATATTGACTGCAGCAAGAGAAGGTAGAAACTCTAAATTTATCCATGTTGATTTGCCTTCTCATAGGGGTCCCCTTGGTGAGGGGTAACTACTGTTAAAAAATAAATTATCATGGAGAGAGATGTAGAAGTGAGGAAGATTAAGGAAAAAAAATCAAATCCATGTAGAAAGTATACTCATTCAGTAGTATGATAAGCTAAATATTTGGGAAAATTCACTCAATATAAAATACCTATTGATTAACACTTTAAACTGAAGCTTAACAGAGATTAATTAAATAAATAAAGATGCATTAAATGAAGATGAATAAGGATTAAATAAATATATTTACAGAAAAAGAAAGAATTTACCACTCATAGATACTCACTGGAACAATGACTAAAAAATATACTTCAAGAAGAAGGAAATTAAGACAGTAAGTATACTATTAGCACACAGAGATGGGTAAAAAGATTAATAAAACAGAATACAGAGCCCCCCAAAATCACCTATTATATAATATATATATATATATATATATATATATATATATATATATATATAAAGTTGATACAAGACAGAGAATATTGCAGTAGAGAAGATATATTTTCAATAATAGTCCTAGTGTTGGCATAACGGGATCCCTATCTCACATTATATATAAGCCTACCCCATGAAGATTGAAGACTTAAATGTGGAAAGTAAAATTCTAAAGCTCTTTGAACGTTATAGTAAAACATCCTTATGATACCAGGATAAAAAAAAGGATATCTTTTTTAAGATGCAAAAAACAAAAACCATAAAGAAAAAGTGTAATTTGACTAAATTCAAATCAAAATAAACTGCAAAGAAAATGAGAAGCCGACCAAAAATGGATAAGAAATATTCGTAGTATCAATAATCAATCAAAATTGTATATGCAAAATATATGAATACTTTCTACAAATAAATAAGAATGATACAAACAATTCTATCAAAAAATGGAGAAAAGGCACTAACAGATATTTCACAGAAGGGTAAATTAAAAAGCCAATTAGGGGCCGGCCCGGTGGCGCACTGGATAGTGCGCCGCTTGGGAAGCGCGGCGGCGCTCCCGCCCGAGGGTTCGGATCCCACATACAGACCGGTTCCTGCTCACTGGCTGAGCGAGGTGCGGGAGCGACGCCGAGGGTTGCGATCCCGTTGCCAGTCCCCGGTCCGGTACGGGGGCAACACTGAGGGTTGCGATCCGTTGCCGGACACGGAAAAAGACAAAAGACAAAAAAAAAAAAAAAAAGCCAATTAAACATCTGGAAAAATGCTCAACTCATAATCATCTTTGATATACATATTTTAATCATAAGAAGATGCACCATGAGACTGGCAAAAATTAAGGCCTGAAATGTCAAGTGTGGAGCAGCAGATGTGGAGCAGCAGAAATCATTATAAACTGTGTGTTTTAGTGAAAACTGATACAAACATTTTGCAAAGCAATTTGGCATTATCTTGTAGAGTTAACGTCTGTATCCTAGACCAAACAATTACATTCCTAGGTATATACCCTAAAATAACTCTTACATATCTGCACCAGTAGATATGTACAGTGCAAGAATGTTTGTGACAGTTTTATTTCCAATACCGAATAAACAAACGAAAACTTTGTAGGAACCCAGATGTCCAACAACACTAAAATTGACAAATAACATGAATTTATAGAATAAAAAAACAAAACACAGCAATGAAAATAATAAACTACTGTTGGAGAATGCTCTGCTATTACACATTGGCAGCCTTGCAAGCATGCACACATGCTGCACTGGACTGAACCACCACTAATCAGAGTCTTGGCAGAAGCCTTTCAATCTTTCTGGAACACAAGAGGATGAGTGGCTCGTGAGGCCACCTCCCACTCACTTCCTGTCTTTCTTAGGGACTGTCATGGGACATTTTCTTAGCACTTCCCAGGTACTGATGAAGTATGAGGCTTTCTGAAAGGTCTAGCTACAGACTATAAACCCACTGAGATACAGCCTAGAATTACTTGTTAGTAATGGGATATCCCACAACTACTGTTGTAGTCATCCAGCCCCTTTTAGTATCATTATTTGGGGTGTTTAGAACAAGGACCCAGTTACCCGGCATCTTTGGCTATCCTTTGTTTCACTCTCAATGTAAGTAACAAAGTTTCTGAATCTAAAAATGGCTTGTTGTATCTTAACTGGCTGAATTAGGCCTTAGCCTTGGCTTTACCTTATCTTGTGTGCCTGAAAACTACTTCTATCCCAGTAAACAGAGATGAGTCTTCGAGACACAATGTATGAAAACCAAATTGTAAAGGTATATTTACTGTACATTA